GAGGAGGGGAGGCGGAGGAGGGACAGCACCAGGAAGAGAAGGAGGAGGAGGAGGAGGAGGAGGAGGAGGCGGAGGAGGGACAGCACAAGGAAAAGAAGGAGGAGGAGGAGGAGGAGGAGGAGGAGGAGGAGGAGGAGGAGGAGGAGCAAGAGGAGGAGGAGGAGGAGGAGGAGGAGGAGGCGGAGGAGGAGGAGCAAGAGGAGGAGGGAGGAGGAGGAGGAGGAGGAGGAGGAGGAGGAGGAGGAGGAGGAGGAGGAGGAGGAGGAGGAGGAGCAGGAGCAGGACGACGAGGAGGAGGAGGAGAAGAAGGAGGGACAGCACCAGGAAGAGGAGGAGGAGCATCGGGAGCCCGACGGGCATGTCGGGGATCAGATTAAGAATGATGAAAATGGTTTTTCTCATGGTTCTAGGCCGCTTGCGGGCCGCGCGGTGCTGAAGTTGAAAATGGTTCATGGTGGTTTTGAAAATGGCCGCGCGCGCGTTTCAAATAGTTTCGGTGTCAAGCTAGCAGCTTGGCGCGCCCGCCATTGGAAGGTATGATTACGCGCAACGCGGCCTTCGCTCAGGGGTGCCAGGGCAAGTGGCGCTTGATCCTCCTTCCCACTCTGCCCTGCAGTAGGCGGTGCGAGCCAAGGGCGTTTGAGCCTTCTCCGTGCCTCTTCACATGCAGCCCGAGCTCGGCCTTTAAGCGCGCGGGTGTCTTTTGTTGGGCTAGTTGGAACTAGAGGTTGCGTCTCGAACCGAAAGAGCCAACATGTTTTGCCCCACCAATTACCGTTGCTACTGCACGCTGCTGGGGCCGCCGCCCACGAAGGCATCCCCAGGTTCGCGCCGAGTCCGTCACATGTGAAACGTGCTGCGTTTGCAGGCTGGCCCGCGCCGAGTCCGCGGCATGTGAAGGGTTTGACAACTCGGCGCCGCGCCGAGCAAGCTATCGTGCCCCCCCTACCCTCCTTATCGGCAGAAGCAGGGGCGCGTGCAACAGGGCACTTGTTTAAGTTGTTGTATTTTTTCATGTTTGTGCCTAGCAGCTCCGCGAAACTACTGCAGCGCGCGCCTGTGCAGTCCATCGTTGTGTGCGTTGGGTAATTCGTTATTTTCCCTCCCCGCTCTGAGGTCGCCGCCCTGGGCGGCCGAACGGCGAGAAACTTTGCTGAAACTTGCGCCGCAGGATGTGGAGTGAGAAGATATGGTACGATGCGGGATCGATTACACATGTCTGCGGTAACTGCATATGCAACAAGGGGGCGATTTGGGGAGACTCGTGGCCCGTCGAAGGAGGAGGACCATGATCAGGAGCAACTGCAACAGGCGTGCGTCTAGGCGCGCGTGGCCCTGCCACTGCGTCAAAGAAAAACCGTGGTGACTATAATGATTATGGACGACCAGGGGGGGGGGGCAGCTGCTTTGGCATTGGCGGTGCGCGCCGCAGGCATCTGGATATCTGGACAAACCGCGGGTGCAGCTGCAGGAAGTTCTTCCTGCCCTCGCACTTCCGCTCGTTCGCCAGCGAGACCTCCGTGCTTGTTTTGCGTGTTCGGTCGCGCCCGTGTTTCATGTTGCCCACAGCCACCTGGCACTCCATCTGAGAAATGGCCCCAGCCATGCGTCTCTGGAAAACTGTGCATGGGTCCTTGTTGGTGAACAGCCCCGGGATCGAGGCGTGCACCAACTCCAAACCTCGCTTTTCGTACTCCGCGATCGCCTCTTCCTGCACCATCAAGCGGCGGGCCAACCGCTTCTCGTCGGGCACCGCGATCCGCTTGATGCCGCGCTTCTCGCACCTGTCCACGAAGGCGGCCGCGCCCGGCCTGGACAGGAACGGCGTTGAACCTGGGGAAGCAAAAAAAAACTCTACGACAAATTCGGCGTGCGATTTTGCAGTTATTCGCCGCGGGGGCGGTGGAAACATGAAGGCGGGGGGGGGGGCGCTTGCTGTAGCAATTGCGTAGTGTAGCGTCTGGCACGCTAACAAATCCAGGGTTTCGCGCCGATGGGCGATGTTACCTTCGGAAGAGGACGCGACGCGCCACATTCCTCATCCAATGCCCCTGCGGTGTGTGGGGGCGTTGTGGCCCCGCCGTCCTGGGACGTTCTTCAAGACGAGCGTTTCCTGGACGGTGGGGGGGTGCCGCGCCCGTGATAGCGTGTCCAGAAAAAGCTGCCCCCGCGCTGCTTGAGCCCCGAAAAAGCAACGAATGGCTACAAGTGGGTGGTCCACGCTTACTTCCTCCGGTTGCCACGGGCCTCCCAGGGATCCCCGCTGGCCCCCGCTGTCAGTCCGCCGCAGTCTATTTGTGACTTCTGTCGGGCGACACGAACCTCCCCTGGGCAGTCGCCCGTAGGCTGCACGTGCTTCCGCGGCCTCCTGCGGGCCGTCGGCCGCAGGCTGCACGTACTTCCGCCGGCTGCCGCCGACCTCCCGCCAACGTCTGTTGGCAAGAGCGTCCGCCTCTCCGCCAGCTCTGGCGGGCCCTCAGCCGGTGGGCCCCGCCTACTCCCGCCGACTGCCGCCGACCTGCCGCTTGCTCCTGCCAGCGCAAGAGCCCCCCCTTCGAACGGCCCCCACGGACCGTCGGCCAACTTCTGGCGCCGGCCGCCGGGCTGTGCCAGAAGTCGGTCCAGGACTGACTTCTGGCGCGGGCCCGCGTCGGAAGTCGGTCCTGGACGCGGGCCCGCGTCGGAAGTCGGTCCTGGACCCACTTCCGACGCGGGCCCGCGTCGGAAGTCGGTCCAGGACCGACTTCCGGCGCGCCCTTCTGTCTCCGCCCCAACCCTCGTCGGCGCCGTCGCCGGCGTTGCCCCTGCCGCCCTCTAGCGTTTTCAAGCCTCGGCGGGGGCCGCGCCCCCCCTCGCGCGTCCTCCTTCCTCCTCACTGCCCCCTCCCCCAATTTTCCTCCTCGCCCCCCTCCTCGCCCCATTCCCCCCTTCCCCCGCATCCCCATCCACCGCCTAATTGTATTCCTCCTGCTCCTGCTCCTGCTCCTGCTCCTCCTTCCCTCTCCTATCTGCCGCGCCTGCGGCGTTCGGGCACCGCGCAGCATATGTTTGTTTCGTTTTCTGGCGCCCGCGCCATGCCTGCCAAGATGAAGGCGGCTGCCACGACACGCGCGTCGACGATGACGAACGTGGATGGCGCCAGCGTGCCGCGGCAGAAGGCACAGATAACGAAGGCGGCCAGGGGCGCCCCCCCACCGCCCAGGAAACGCTCATCTTGAAGAACGCCCCAGGACGGCGGGGCCACAACGCCCCCACACACCGCAAGGGCATTGGATGAGGAATGCGGCGCGTCGCGTCCTCTTCCGAAGGTAACATCGCCCATCGGCACGAAACCCTGGATTTGTTAGCGTGCCAGACGCTACGCAACGCAATTGCTACAGCAAGCGCCCCCCCCCCCCGCCTTCATGTTTCCACCGCCCCCGCGGCAAAGTACTGCAAAATCGTACGCCGAATTTGTCGTCGATTTTTTTTTGCTTCCCCAGGTTCAACGCCGTTCCTGTCCAGGCCGGGCGTGGCCGCCTTCCTGGACAGGTGCGAGAAGCGCGGCATCAAGCGGATCGTGGTGCCCGACGAGAAGCGGTTGGCCCGCCGCTTGATGGTGCAGGAAGAGGCGATCGCGGAGTGCGAAAAGCGAGGTTTGGAGTTGGTGCACGCCTCGATCCCAAGGCTGTTCACCAACAAGGACCCATACACAGTTTTCCAGAGACACATGGCCGGGGCCATTTCTCAGATGGAGTGCCAGGTGGCTGTGGGCAACATGAAACACGGGCGCGACCGAGCACGCAAAACAAGCACGGAGGTCTCGCTGGCGAACGAGCGGAAGTGCGAGGGCAGGAAGAACTTCCTGCAGCTGCAACCGCGGTTTGTCCAGATATCCAGATGCCTGCGGCGCGCACCGCCAATGCCAAAGCAGCTGCCCCCCCCCCGGTCGTCCATAATCATTATAGTCACCACGGTTTTTCTTTGACGCAGTGCCAGGGCCACGCGCGCCTAGACGCACGCCTGTTGCAGTTGCTCCTGCTCATGGTCCTCCTCCTTTGACGGGCCACGAGTCTCCCCAAATCGTCCCCTTGTTGCATATGCAGTTACCGCAGACATGTGTAATCGATCCCGCATCGTACCATATCTTCTCACTCCACATCCTGCGGCGCAAGTTTGAGCAAAGTTTCTCGTCATTCGGCCGCCCAGGGCGGCGACCGCAGAGCGGGGAGGGAAAATAACGAATTACCCAACACACACAACGATGGACTGCACAGGCGCGTGCTGCAGTAGTTTCGCGGAGCTGCTAGGCACAAACTTGAAAACACACAACAACTTAAACAAGTGCCCTTTTGCACGCGCCCCTGCTTCTGCCGATAAGGAGGGTAGGGGGGGCACGATAGCTTGCTCGGCGCGGCGCCGAGTTGTCAAACCCTTCACATGCCGCGGACTCGGCGCGGGCCAGCCTGCAAACGCAGCGCGTTTCACATGTGACGGACTCGGCGCGAACCTGGGGATGCCTTCGTGGGCGGCAGCCCCAGCAGCGTGCAGTAGCAACGGTAATTGGTGGGACAGAACATGTTGGCTCTTTCGGTTCGAGACGCAACCTCTAGTTCCAACTAGCTCAACAAAAGACACCCGCGCGCTTAAAGGCCGAGCTCGGGCTGCATGTGAAGAGGCACGGAGAAGGCTCAAACGCCCTTGGCTCGTACCGCCTACTGCAGGGCAGAGTGGGAAGGAGGATCAAGCGCCACTTGCCCTGGCACCCATGAGCGAAGGCCGCGTTGCGCGTAATCGTACCTTCCAATGGCGGGCGCGCAAGCTGCTAGTTTGACGCCGAAACTATTTGAAACCCGCGCGCGGCCATTTTCAAAACCACCATGAACCATTTTCAACTTCAGCACCGCACGGCCCGCAAGCGGCCTAGAACCATGAGAAAACCATTTTCATCATTCTTAATATGATCCCCGACATGCCCGTGACCCTATCCAGCCCGCGCCACTTCCCGAGCACCCGGGCGGACGCAAAGGGGGGGGCGGAGCAGACTGGGGGTGGGGCGGGGGGGCAAAACGGCAGAGGAGGAGGAGGAGGAGGAGGAGGAGGAGGAGGAGGAGGAGGAGGACTCTGCCGTCGAAGCGCGGCCACCAGGAGCGCACGTCGAGGGCAGGAGCCGCCTCGCCGAAGGCCCAGGAGGGCCCCGCGGAGAGGCCACGGAACGGGGAGCCCGTCGGGGCGCAGGGCGAGCCCAGGCGCGAGGGGCAGAGGGGCGCCCCCTGCCAGGCTGGGGCTCCTCGCGATCTGCCCCTCGCGCCGAGGGCCCCGGGCCCCGCGGAGGCGCCACAGGACGACGGGCCTCTCGGAGCGCAGGGCGCGCCCCTGCGCGAGGGGCAGGGGAGGGCGCCCCCTGCAGAGCCGGGGTGCCTGCTCTGCACGAGCGCGCGCCACTACTCGCAGAGTAACTGCTCGCAACTGGCCTGGATCCGCCGCGGGGGATCTGCGACACATTGCATCGAAGCAGACATGTGTTGTCGGACGTTTGCGAGGAGACACTTTGCGAGAGGCGGAACGCGCTCGGTGATGTTCATACCCTTCGTGCTGGCTGTAGCTGGTTTTTCTGGTGCCCCGAGGCGTCAGGAGCGACCACGTGCTGGGTAGCAGTGCTGGGCCAGCTGTGTGCAGAAGTCGGCTTCGCATTCCCCCCCTTGTCCCAACGACCCCGAGGATCGAATTCCAGTCCGAAGCTTGTTCCCCTGCATTCTGAAGCTTCTGCCCCTCCATTCTGGAGCTTTTTTTGGCGGCGCGCGCAAGAGGGTATGGGGGCTGGGGAGGGGAAGGCTTCTCGGAAGGAGCCCGCTTATTGGAAGGCGCCGACCCTACATCCGTAGACAAGGCCAGCGCCTTCTAACCAGCAGGGGTGCTTCTGGGAGGCCTTCCCCCCCTCCCCTGCTCCCCTCTGCGCGTGGCCGAAGTCGTCTTCGCGCCCCAGCGGGTGGCCTACAGCCAAAGCTATCGTCAAAGAAAAACTCGCGCCTGAAAAAACCTGTGCCGGCCGTCTGCCCAAGCTCTGGGCAGAAGCCGCAGCATCCCTTCGCAACGGAGTACACGACAGGCTCGTGTCGTGCCGACTTCGGCGTCAGGTTCGTGTCGTGCCGATTTCGGCGTTGACTCCTGCGCGTGGCCGATGTTTGCCGCCTCCAGGGTCTCGCCATCGCTCGGACGTCCATTCCCCGTGCGTTTTTCGGTTTCGTGCGTGTTTTTTTTTGTTTTCTTTTTTCGCAGGATGATCCAAGCTGCTCTTCGATGGTCCTCGCCGAGAAGAAAATGCATACGTCCGAGCGATGCCAAAGCGGGTGGAGGTTCCTCGACCTTCCAGGTGGAGGTCTGGGATCCTCTGGGCCCTGCCCCCCCTCCCCCCCCCCCCGCAGCCTGGACCCCGAAGCCCCCGCGCTCTAGGGGCCGCCTGGGGCCCGCGGGAGCCCGAGACGGCACGGCCTGGCGGCGCCCACGCGGAGCTGGCGCCCCCCCCCCCCCCCCCCGCAGCCTGGACCCCGACGCCCCCGCTCTCTGGGCCGCCCGGGGCTCGCGGGAGCCCGAGACGGCACGGCCTGGCGGCGCCCGCGCGGAGCTGGCGCGAGGGGGGCGGCCTGCTCAGAGGCCCGCCCCGAGGGCATGAGGCCCTCTTGGAGGCAGCCAGGCCCTCTCTGAGGAGCCCCCCCCCCCGTGGGACCCGCCGTTCGTGCGACTACAGCCGAATGCTTTTTTCTTGATCTCCACAACGACCATCAAAGTGAAGTGCCCACCATCGAAGCCAATTGGACGTCCGCTTAATTACACATTGATTTTGCTTATGCTATGCACGTTTTCCAGAGGCAGCGACAATCAGAATCAGTTTGTATGAAGGGGCCCCAGGACACACAAATTAATACACACAAATAAAGAGATTCCCCATACTTTCCCATATTTTCTGGGTTTCTGTCTTCCCCCCCCACTTCCCATATTTTCCTACACTTTCTGGGGAATCGAAGATTAATTGTGTCTGTATGTTTTTTCCCCTCCTGATTGTAAGCCCCTCCCCCTGCTCAGCGTGTCGAGCAACAGCGGCCCCGGGGGGCACGCCGCGCCCTGCGAGCGGCTGGCGCGTCGCTCCGCTCCGCGGGACGCGAGGCCTCGGAGGGCTCGGGCCGTGGAAGCCTGGCGACTGGGAAGTGGATCGCGTACATCCTCCTCCTCCTCCTCCTCCTCCTCCTCCTCCTCCTCCTCCTCCTCCTCCTCCTCTCCCTCCTCCTCCATTCCTTCTTCTTATAAATATACCGCGCCGAAGCCTATCCAGAGTTCCCGATCCTAAGAAGCCCCTCGCCTTCTAGACGCTCCCCCCCTCGCGACAGCATCCTGGTGGGCGCCGCCTGGTGACCCTAGGCCTCTCGGTCAGACAACCCGCCAGTCCCCGAGTCCGCCGCCGCCTTCTTCTCGCAATACGTCTCCACCTCCATGACCTCGAGCTGCTGGGCCTCGAAGTCGTCCCTGCCCCCCCCCCGCGGCGCGCACATGGGACAGCCCTGAGCACCGCGCCACGACACAGTTTTTGCTCGCACCGGGCCGACAGCGCCACGGCTCATCCCTTTCACCCACCTCCGATCCTCTCCACTTCCCTCTTCTAGTCTTGCTCCCACTTCTTTTTCTCCCTCCTCCCCCTCGTCCTGCTCCCTCCGCATCCCCCTTCTCCTCCTCCTCCTCCTCCTCCTCCTTCTCCTCCTCTCCCTCCTCCTCCTCCTCCTCCTCGTCCTCTCCCTCCTCCTACTCCACCTCCTCCTTCTTTTTCTTCTGCTCCTCCTCCTCCTTCTCCTTCTCCTTCTCCTTTTCCTTCTCCTTTTCCTTCTCCTTCTCCTTCTCTTCCTCCTCCTCCTCCTCCTCCAACTCCTCCTCCACCTCCTCCTCCTCCTCCTCCTCCTCCTCCTCCTCCTCCCCCTCCCCCCGTCCCCCCCCTTCCTCATCCATCCCTCTTCTTTTAAGGAGCCGCAAAAAGACGCACGCGCCGAAGTACGCACATGACCCCCACCAGCCTTTTAGGGCGTCAGTGGTTTAGCGGATTTCCTCTTCCAACCGCCCGTTTTCTCCTTCGGGGAAGGGTTTAACCACCGTTCCCGATTAATAAAGACCCCCTCCCCCAGGCGACGGGCAGCCAACCAGGACCAATGCGACCCCCCAATCCTTGTGAAAAGACCATGCGAAACACACTTTGGGGCAAAATCTTGGGTCATGCTCGTAGGCCCCGCGAACACTTTGTACTGTTCCCAACCATCCTGTGGTCTTGGGTCCTTGTTTTTTATATAAAAAACAGCGTCCCGCTTTCCTCCTCTCCTCCTCCTGCTCCTCCCAAATCCTCTTCCTCCCCTTCCGTCACCCACGTCACTCTGGTACACCCCTCACAAGTTTCGTGGCTCCATGGGGAGCTCCACCGAAGGTCCGAGTGGCGCAGTCCGCATGCGGTTCCTGCGCCCAAGACAACGTTTCCTGGCCCCAGAGGGAGCTCCACCGAAGGTCCCAGTGGCGCAGTCCGCATGGGGTTCCTGCGCCCAGTACAGCGCTTCGTGGCCCCATGGGGAGCTCCACCGAAGGTCCCAGTGGCGGAACTCGCATGCGGTTCCTGCGCCCAGTGCAACGTTTCGTGGCCCCATTGGGAGCTCCACCGAATGTCCCACTGGCGCAGTCCGCATGCGGCTCCTGCGCCCATTAACTACAGCGTTTCGTGGCCCCAGGGGGAGCTCCACCGAAAGTCCCAGAAGCGCAGTCCGCATGCGGTTCCTGCTCCCAATGCAACGTTTCGTGGCCCCACAAGGAGCTCCGAAGGTCCCAGTGGCGGAACTCGCATGCGGTTCCTGCGCCCAGTGCAACGTTTCGTGGCCGCATGGGGAGCTCCACCGAAGGTCCGAGTGGCGCAGTCCGCATGCGGTTCCTGCGCCCAAGACAACGTTTCGTGGCCCCAGGGGGAGCTCCACCGAAGGTCCCAATGGCGCAGTCCGCATGCGGTTCCTGCCATTTGGTGGAGCTCCCTATGGGGCCACGCAACTTTGTACTTGGTGGGGGTGACGCATGCGGGCGGCGCCGCTTGGGCCTTCGCTGGAGCTCCCTATGGGGCTACGAAGCGTTGTACTGGGCGAGGGGTGACGCATGCGGGCGGTGCCACAGGGGCCTTCGGTGGATCTCCCTATGGGGCCACGAAGCGCTGTACTGGATGAGGGGTGACGCACGCGGGCGGTGCCACTGGGGCCTTCGGTGGATCTCCCTATGGGGCCACGAAGCGCTGTACTGGGTGGGTGTGGCGCATGCGGGCGGTAGCCTTTGTGCCTTCTCTTGAGATCCCTATGGGGCCACGAAATGCTGCAGTGGTTGGGGGAAACGCAGGGAGGAGGGAGGAGTGGGAGGAGGGCAGGAAACGAGGAGAGGAGAACGCGAGACGCTGTCTCTTCAATGCGAGGACCCAACACCACAGGACGGTTGGGAACAATCCAACATGCACTTCGCGGCTAAATCTGGATCATGCGCGGCCACCCCCCGATCGCTGTCCACTGGTGTTCGACAGTGACCGAGGGGGTTGCTGGCATATTGCCTGCTGTGCGCAGGCCCGCCAGACACCATGATGGGCTCCCCGCCGCGATTGTGCACTGTTTTTCGACAGGGATGGTGGTGGGCGACATGTTTCTCGATCACACTGGAAGCAATACAACATACTCTATATCAGAAAAAAAGCGGGCGGCGGAGAACAACACCTGAAACAGTAACTGACGTATCGAGAGAAACGGCGGCAAGGCGAACCAACGAATTCAAATCAGTTGGAACTCCCCGAAAAAAATTGGCGGCGAATCGTCTTGTGGCCAGTGCGGAATTATTCAGGCGGGCTGCGTTTTGCAATCCGTTGAAAAAACTACAACGAAGATAACAACACAGAATATCTTAGGCGGGCGTGGGACTCCCCCGAGAAATATTTGCAATTCTATTAAAAAGGCGCACCGCGTGACGCGGAAGTGCGATATTTTTCAATTCCCAACCAGACGAAACATTTCAACCCGCCCGCGGGCGCAACCGTAATCGCAACGAGGCAACAACAAAATGGCGGCGGGCTCGCCGGCCAAAATCAGTTCAAAATGGCGGCGGCGGGGGGGGGCGCCCCCAGTCAGTGCTGCAGTGAGCACCGAAGAAACCGTAGTGATGTTTCTCGATGCGTGCTGTCACGTGCTCGGGCGCACCTGGCACACTCTGCGCGTGCCCCAGACGTGGCGCGGCTGGACCATGCGGCACACATGGCGCACGTGGAGCACATGGCGCATCTGACACGCGAGGCGTGCCTGGCACGCTTGTGCTCCAGGGGTGCCTGGCGCACCTGGAGCGCCTGGCACGCGTGGCGCACCTCGCCCCATCGCGCACATGGGGTCTGCATTGGCTCCTATTAGCTGCCAATCCATGGACGACTGCTGAACATGCTGAGGCCCGGGTGCTACTCATGTATGTATTGGGAGGGCGGGTGGGAGTGAGCGAGACAGCTTGCGAGCGGGGAGGGTGTCTTGACGCATCCTCCCACCCCCTCCACCTGGGTCTGGACGGGGGGGTCCGCGAGGGGTGGGAGCGTCCAAGATGACTTCGGCGAGGAAACCCAAATCTCTGATTCTATTAGGGCGTTGGCCTCAGGCTGGCCTCCTCGGGGGGAACCTAATTGAGGAGCTCCACTCCTTTGATCGATCCTCTCCGAGATGGCCCCAAGATGGCCCGGGGCCCCCAAGGATGCCCCAAGAGGGCTCCAAGAGGTGCCCAGGAGGCCCCAAGATGGCCCCAAGATGCCACCGAGAGGCTCCCAAGATACCCCCAACACGCCCCCACAGGCCACACAGAGGCACTCAAGACGCTCCAATAAGCCTCGGCGAGAAGGTCAAACTTATTGTTGTTACAACCCGGCTTAAAGTTAAGATTATCCCGGCAAAGCAACCTAACAGCGATGTGTAGGAGCATATCTGGAAGCATTCCCCTTAAGATTCAGATGAGAATCCAGTTGTAGAATTGTGCTGTTCTCGCAGTCGTAGTCGCATTCGCGATGACAGTCGCAGTGGCAACGGCAGTCACAGACACAGCCTCAGCCTCAGCCTGCCTCAGCCTCAGCCTCAGCCTGCCTCAGCCTCAGCCTGCCTCAGCCTCAGCCTCAGCCTGCTTCAGCCTCAGCCTCAGTCTGCCTTCAGCCTCGGCCTCAGCCTCAGCCTGCCTCAGCCTCAGCCTGCATCAGCCTCAGCCTCAGCCTCAGCCTGCCTCAGCATCAGCCTGCCTCAGCCTCAGCCTCAGCCTGCCTCAGCATTCAAAATGTGGCCCGGGATGTAGTTCTGGGAACTCGAAGAACACGAAGTGGCCTACAGTTGGCTCCGGGCATTCAAAATCATGCCCAGGAATGGAGTTCTGGGAACTCGAAGACCACGAAGTGGCCTACAGTTGGCTCCGGGCATCCAAAATCTGGCCCGGGAATGGCCTACAGTTGGCTCCGGGCATTCAAATTCATGCCCAGGAATGGAGTTCTGGGAACTCGAAGACCACGAAGTGGCCTACAGTTGGCTCCGGGCATCCAAAATCTGGCCCGGGAATGGAGGGCGGGAATGGCCTACAGTTGGCTCCGGGCATTCAAAATCGCCCGGGAATGGAGTTCTGGGAACTCGAAGAGCACGAAGTGGCCTACAGTTGGCTCCGGGCATTCAAAATGTGGCCCGGGAATGGAGTTCTGGGAACTCGAAGAGCACGAAGTGGCCTACAGTTGGCTCCGGGCATTCAAAATGTGGCCCGGGAATGGAGTTCTGGGAAGTCGAAGAGCACGAAGTGGCCTACAGTTGGCTCCGGGCATTCAGAATGTGGCCCGGGAATGGAGTTCTGGGAGGTCGAAGAGCACGAAGTGTGTGACTGTATGCGAAAAACGATCCCGGCCGGCAAACCCCAACACCTCCCCAACGGCTGCCCAGACCCCCCTGTGGAGTCATCTGCTGCTCTCTTTTTAGCTTATTAGAAACCTATCAGTCTTCGCTGTTAGGTAAAAATTCGCAGCTAAGGCAGTGGACTCCACTCCGAGCGTTTTCTTTGATAGTAATCCAGGCCCCGATATACGAGCGTTCTACGCAGAAAGGGACATCAGGAGAACGCCCAGGGTCCAGCCCAGATTGTCGATTTTCGCGAGCAGAATCTGAAGTCCATGATAATTGGGACTATTCCCGACCGTCCTATGTTGTTAGGTCCCAGCTTTGAAGAGACAACGCCCCGCGTTCCTCCTCTCCTCCTCCCGCTCCTCCCTCCTCCTCTGCCTCCCTCCTCCCGTCACCCCCCTCACTTTGGCATACCCCTCACAAGTTTCGTGGCCCCATAGGGAGCTCCAACGAAGGTCCCAGTGGCGCAGTCCGCATGCGGTTCCTGCGTCCACTGCAATTTTTCGTGGCCCATGGGGAGCTCCACCGAAGGTCCCAATGGCGCAATCCGTATGCGGTTCCTGCGCCCACTGCAGT